TGTTAACTCTTTCAGTTGTTTTTCTATTCTCTATTTCATTTAATTCTGCTCTAATTCTTATTATTTCCTTCCTTCTGGCACCTGTGGGCTTCTTTTAGGCAGCCACATCTTGATAACACTAAGCAGTAACACTAGTACAGAAATCAGTTATTTCTAAATAATGTGTCAGGAAATTCACAGATATCAATGCTTTTATTTTAATTTATACAAATTATGTGAGAAAATTTGCTTCTAAATCTTGAGGGAAGTAAGTCAGTCTCTTACCATATCTTCAGGAAATAACTTCCCTTTTTGATTTTTAATCTTTTGCATTAGGTCCCCTCCATCACAATATTCCATCACAATATACAGATGTCCATCAGCTAAAACAAATGTAAGATGTGTTAGAAAAGCCACAGTGGTCATAAATTAAATTCAGAAATGCATGTTTTTTGGAGGGATTCATATTTACCTTCAAATGATTTTCTAAAGGCAACGATATTGGGATGTTTCATTTTGGCTAACAGAATAGCCTCCTTCCTAGAATTCTGTGTATCAGAGAAAGACTAAAAAGAGATTTTAAATAGGTATAACTTTAGAACTGCATTTTACAAGAGATGGATTTACAATAATATACTTTGTTTGTATGCTCCTTCATTGCTGGACGCAGTTTTGTAGCACTGCCCTCAGGCTCAGCTTAAGTTTGTCAAACTCAGAGAGAAAACGTGGTGATTTTTCAACTATGGTTATATTTTGTAGGCTTGAACTGACCCCTTGTATCCTTACAAGTACAGAACTGTACTTGAAAGTTTTAACATCAGCCTAAGCAGAATGTGGCTTGGACAGCCAGCATGCAATCAAAAGTAGCTTAACCTTTAAAAAACAAAAACTAAGGATTTAATATTTTGACTGTTTGTATTACTGTATCAATCCACTGGCCCAGATAAAAAAAAAAAAAGGAATATAGTAGTGTATTATTGCATCCGGGATGGACAAAGACAATTCATTCAACAGTTCAAAAGCAAGTTTCCAAAACTGTTTATCCCCTAACTTACTCTACTGGGGATGAAATCCTGAGTGATTTATCTTACAACCAAGGTGTCATACCAGCACCCACTGGGAACATGTTAAAATGCAAATCTGCAAGTCTATGATTTACTATATCAGCAACTCTGGGGTGGGCCCAGCCATCGCATTTTAGCCATCTCTCCAGGTGATTCTGATACCTGCTCCAGTTTGACAACCACTTCAGGAAGTCAAGAATACTGTGGAGAAAAATGCTTTGCATACTGAGAACATACTGACTTTAATCAACTGCTGTGATCTTTCCAATGCAGATAGCAAGGGCTTTCTTCCAAGGTGCCTGTGGGTGGATTCGAACCACCAACCTTTTGGTTAGCAGCCGAGCACTTAAACATTTGCACCACCCAGGGACTCCTAACAACTATGATACACAGTGATAAGTCAGCACCTTACTCATCTTACAGGGAAATAAAACCTATAAACTGATGCCACAGTATAGATTCCCTGATAATAGAAGTTAACATTTTAGGTCTTTGTTCTTCATTGTATTTTCCATGTTCCTTTTTTCACTAATATTGCACCTGAGTTGCTTTTTGCGAAGGTTTCAGATACCCTTGGGTATAAGAACTGTAAATTATTACAAATTATTCTCATTGCCATAAAATAAGGAGAATCACCATCTAAACGTTGACTATTTTTCTTCTTTTTTGCTAATAACACTACCCTAATAGCCACATAAAATATATCAAGACCTTGTAAAGCTAATGAATAAGCCAATTACATCTTTTGTATGTAGGAGAAATTCCATGTTAAATCCAGAGGACGTATTCTCCTATATAAGTTGCATGTACACTTTCAACACAATCTAATTTCTTTAGCAGTGACCTTGGGAAGCCTTATTTCCTTCATGGCCAGCACCCGATTACTGCTTTCCTGCTGAACCAAAAGAGCTCTGCCAAAGGAGCCCTCGCCGATCACTTGCAGGACTGTGTAGTCATCCATGCTGGGGCACCACACAACCAGGCTCCACTCATGGAATCACCTCGGCTCTCCCAAACTATTAAAATACAGAAACATTGGAGAATTGAATTTATTTTCAAAGGCAAAATTAATTCAAAGTCACTCTTGTAATCCTTATAAGACAATGGCAACTTATTTGTTTATTCATTCAACAGGTAAACCAAAAAAACTGAACTCGCTGTCATTGAGTCAATTCCAACTCAGCAACCCTGTAGACAGAGTAGAACTGTCCCATACAGTTTCCAAGGCTGTAAATCTTTAGGGAAGCAGACTGCCACATCTTTCTCCCTCAGAGTGGCTGGTGGGTTCAAACCACTGACCTTTTGGTTAGCAGCCGAGCGCTTTAACCACTGCACCACCAGGACTCCTTTAACAGATAGACAGTGAGCGCCAACTCTGTGCCAGCTGTTATAATCCTGAACAAATCTCTCATGGTCCCTGTCACCACAGTCACCCCAATTCAGATGGGACCACAGACCTCAACAAATGGAGGATGGTGAGTTTTACAAAAGTGCTAGGATGGCATGTAGCAGGAATATTTGGGGAAGTTAGGAAAATGATGTTTAAGCTGAAGCCTCAAGGATGAATGGAAGTTGGCTAGGCAAACAGGAGGGGAAAGAATGATCAAGGCAGAGGGAATCGTTATCTTTGACGGCAAAAGAGACTATGATCATAGAATATTACTCAGCCATAAAGAGAAATGAAGTCCTGATACATGCTACAACATGGATGAACCTTGCAGAAATTATGCTGAGTGGAGTAAGTCAATTACAAAAGAGTAAATATTGTGTGATCCCACTTACATGAAATATCTAGAATAGGCAAACGTGTAGAGCTGAAGTTTATTAGTCATTACCAAGGCAGGGAATCCCTGGATGCTGCAAAAAGTTAACATGCTCGGCTGCTAACTGAAAGGTTGGTGGGTGGTTCAAGTCCACCCAGAGACACCTCAGAAGAAAGGCTTGGTGATTTGCTTCTGAAAAATCAGCTATTGAAAACCCTATGGAGCACAGTACTACTCTGACATATATGGGGTCACCACTGGTACCAGTGTCAGGTGGCAGGGGAAAAGGGAGTCACTGTTTAGGAAGTATCGAGTATCACTTAATGGTGATGGAAATTTGGCAACAGATACTGGTAATGGTTGCACAACATGATTAATGTAACTGATGTCACTGAAAAATATAAAAAATGTTGAGTTGGTAAATGCTGTGTTATATATATTTTTACCTCAACCAATCAATAAATAAGATTGTGTCCAGTTCAAGAAACTGAAAGAAGAAAACAGGTCGGTAATGTTCCTGGATTTACTCTTCAGGGTAATTAATGGGATGTCTCTGAAGGGCTTTAACCAAGAGAGCAATATAATCATATTTGCATATATTAGAAAAACCACTCATTTTACAGTAGAGTGACTGGACCAGATGTGGGAGAGTGCAGAAGGGCCAGAGTGGAGGCACGAGCCAGTCAGGAGGTACCAACAATAGAAAAGGCAGGAAAATGAAGATGGAATGGAATTGGGTGGTGGCCATGGGGATGAAGAAAATTGGAAAGTATGTAGAAAGAATTGACAGGATTTTTGGTGGCAGGTTTATGAGGGACAAGTAGGGAGAAGGCAAGGTTGACTCCCAGGTTTCTGGTATAAACTGAGTGAATGGTGACAGCATTCCCTGAGAGAGCATGGAAAGGTACAATAGTTGCATGTGTGGTTTTTTTTTTTTAAGTGCATGGAAGTGTCGTGGGACTGGGACAAGGTATGGGAGAGGAGACATGTTCCTTTTTATTCAGTTGGAGGTGCCTGGGACTCAGAAGAGATGTTAAACAGGCAACTGGAGTCTTTGAACTTGTCTCACCATCTATTATTTCCAGGATGAAGGGGCTAGTTAGATTGTTTAATACATAAGAGAGAATGAGCATAAAGTTCCTAACACTGTGCCTGGCACAGACGAGGCCTTGAATAAATCACAGTTGGTATTATTATTAAAAGCTTAGAAAGATGGTGCAATTATTTTTCATTACAGGGAAGAACATTGGGATGAAATTTCTTGATTTTCAGAAAGCTTATTTGCAGTGTTTTATTTACAGGAAAAAAAAAATTACACCATAAAGAGTTGTGAAGCGCAGAAAGCATGGCAGGTAAAGCAAAAATCCCAAACCAAAACCTGTGATATAAAGGCCGTAAAGTTTTCCCAGGCTTTAAAACTTCCTATCTGTATTCATGCTTATCATAGAATTACCAGGAAGCCCTAGAAATAACTTCCCCATATAACCAAATCCAATTCAATGTCCTCAAAAAGAGTTCAGCTTTCAGTGTTTTTAAGCACCTGAAAGGAAAAAAGTCCCTTCCTTTTATTCTAATTGACCCCTGGTATTACACGATTTATAGACTCGGAGGCCAAATTTTCCCGTATTTCTATTCTTTTCCTTAGGGTCTTTGTTCTTTGTAATGGACGGTAACTACTGATAAGTAAGAACCACCACAGACTTTTCTTAGCTGATAATTTTGGTCCTTTCTGCCCACATGTGTCACTGTTACTCAATATTACACCCATAAGATCATAAAGACCTGTATACATCCTTAATGTGGCATTAGCGTACAAGTCCCTTCGTCTGCCTTGACTTCTCAATTACTGGCAAATTCCCACAAGTGGGTTCACTCGCGAGATAAAAGCTAAGCGGTGCCCACACCAAGCGGGAAACAAGTTACCGGTTCACACTCGACCAAATCATTACTCCCAGAAATGCTGCGGGGTCAGCCAGGCAGCGGGACCTCAGAGAGAGGCCTGGCGCCCAACCCGGCTGCCCACCACAGGGCTGCTTTGGGTTGCATACGAGCGGGCGCCGCCAGCGTTCCGACCGCGGGGCGGTGGTGCCCGAGCGCCCAGAGCGCGTCTCCGACTCGCCCTCACCCCGCGTCGGCGCCGCGCCGCTCCCCCAGGCTCCATGCGACCACCTGCGCCGCTAGTCGGCCCAAGCCCCTCGCGTCCTGGGCGGGGACCGCTCACCTGCTTCCGGTGTGACCTGACCTGCGTTGGCTTCTCAGTCGCCGAGATTTAAGCGTTTCCGCAGGGCCTGCCCTGGTGGGTCATCCCTCCGGTTACTGGCAAGGAACCCGCCCAGGTCTGGCGGGCGGCGCTGTTTTTGCAGTAGCCAGGCCTTCAAAGGGCGGTGCTGTAGAACAAAGCCAATAATATTGAGGGAAAGTGGCCCACAGTAACGAGAGTCTGGTCTCCAGTTTAAGCTAACAGCTTATGTAGATGACATTTCATGGGCACAGCACTCATACTAGCTGTGGGACCTCGGGCAAGTGTGGCAGGCAGAATAATGCTCCCCTCCCCTAATAGAATAAAGTCCCTGGGTGGCGTAAACAGTTTGGCTGGACTGCCAACCCAACGGTTGGCTGTTCCAACCCATCCAGTGGCACCAAGGCCTGGCAATCTGGTTCTGTAAAGATTACAGCCAAGAAAACCCTATGGAGCAGTTCAACACTGTAACACATGGAGTCGTCATGGGTGGGAGTCAGCTCCACAGCAACGGTTTTTTTGTTTTTTAGGGCTTGTTGAGAAGTCCTTGGGTGGCTCAAACTGTTAAGTACCAGGCTATTCACTAAAGTGTTAGTGGTTCAAATCCGCCCACAGGCACCTGAAAGAAAAGCATGGCAATCTACTTCTGAAAAATCACAGCCACTGAAAACTCTATGGAGTGCAGTTCTACTCTGACATTCATGAGTTGGAATCGACTGGACAGCAACTGGTTTTGTTTTTATTTATTTTTGTTGTTGTTTCCCTTAGTAGAATGGAGAAAGAGGCAAGAAGTAAGTCAAGTAAAATAAAACAAACAAACAAAATCAAATCCACTGCCATCAAGTGGATTCCAACTCATAAGGACCCTATAGGACAGAATAGGACTGCCCCATAGGGTTTCCAAGGCTGTAAATCTTTACAGAAGCAGACTGCCACATCTTTCTCCTGCAGAGGGGCTGGTGGGTTCCAACTGCCAACATTTTGGTTAGCAGCCGAGCACTTTAACCACTGTGCCACCAGGGCTCCTTCAGGTAAAAGAGGAAGTTAAAAAAAATTGTAGAGAAAGTTAATTCTCTTGCTAATAATCTTGTGTTTGCAGGAGGATATAGAAATTCATATTTATTCTCATTGTATATTAATTACTAGAGGTTAATATATTTAAAGAATATATAAAATGTGAACTTACAAATAATTCCTAAGTATTCAAGAAAAATGCTCAAATGTTCATAATAGCAGTATTCATATTAACCAAAAAACTGGAAATAACCCCCAAAAGTCTGTCAAGTGGTGAGTATAAAAACATTGTGTGCTATACCCACACAATAGAAACTAAGCAATAACAAGGAAAGAACTACTGATAAACACAACCATATAGATGAATCTCAAAGATTTCATACTATATCAAAGAAGCTGGACACACTGATTGCCTCAATAAACAACTGTCTCCTTTGCTGTGAGATCAGAAGAACTGTATGGTGCCTGGCTACCATCACTGAACGTTTTGATCAAAGATGCTATAGAAGAATCCTGACCAAAAGGGGGAAAATGTAGAACAGAATTTAAAATTCCCATGGAATTCAGACTTTCTGGAGCCACTGGGGCCATATGAGCCCCCAAAACTATTGCCCTGAGATAATCTTTAAACTTTAAACCTTAAACTGAAACTATCCCCTATAGTTTTCTTTGAACCAAAAAAATAGCTTATCGTAATTAGTAAATTATGTCTGCTTTGAGCATTGTGCTCTTTTAAAGAATTATCTATGTGAGATGAAATTATAAATGGCAACTTGAAAGGTTGGATAGGAAGCTTAGTGGGCAGTGAGTTTAAGATAATGGTGGTAGAATAATGTGGAAAAGGATAACAAGAATGGTAGCACAACTTGAAGAATGTAACCAATGTCACTGAATTGTACTTACGGAAACTGCTGAAATGGTGTATCTTCAGCTGTGAATACTTTC